TAAAAAATATCGGGGGGATACTTAAATCCCCCCAAAAGTGACAGAGCGTCCCCTGCGCATGCGCAGGGGACGCTCTGTCACTTTTGGGGGGATTTAAGTATCCCCCCGATATTTTTTACAGGTTTTTAGATTTTTGTGCACACCTGGGGACTGCCCCAAGTGTGCACAAAAATCTCCCTCCCCCCCAGTTGCCCCCGATGCGCGGATTTAGGTATCCGCACGCAGGGGGTGCCTTTCACTATTAGATATATAGATGTCTAGAGGCAAGTGGAAGGCAATGATACAGAACTGGCAGTGCACTAGAGATTGCTGGCTTGCCTTTGCAGGGCAACATCTGAAGGGCCTCACTGGATTGAGCTGCTAATTCATGCTTCGAAAGAAGTAATTACTCTTGTTCTTATTGAAGGATTATGAAGATGATTTTGATGACGCGGATGATGATGATGATGATGGTGATGTCGAGAGTCAGGGGAATAGGGAGCGAGAAGAAGAAGAAAAAGAGGCTAAAGAAAATGTACGGAAGGTTCCCATAGTCAAGAACTCAGAAATAGAAGAGATTCAGAAAGCAATCAATGCGGAAAACGAAAGAGTCAGGACCTTTCTCCCGGAGCAAAGCAAGAATGAATCTCTTCCCAAAGAATGTGAAAAAGAACTGGGAACGGGTATGTGAAGAGGCACGTTGTTTGTTGAAAGCATTTCCATGCTGTTTTTCCACCCAAATTAGGGTCCTCGGGGTGGCAGACACCAAACCACTAAAACATTTCAAACTTAATATACAGATGAATATATATAAAACCTTTAGAACAGTTAAATAGAACACACAAACACATGAACAGAGAGGAGGGATCATAAGAGTTACTGAGGGAACAACAAACAAAACAATGTCTTTATCTGCTGGCAGAAGACAACGATAGAGGGAGACAGATGAATCTCCTGGGGAGGGAGTTCCAAAGTTTCGGTGCCATGACTGGGAAGGCCCTTCCTGGGTTGCTGCCTGTTTAGCCTCAGATGGCGGAGACTCCTGAAGTAAGGCCTCCAAAGATGATTGGAATGTATGATTAGGTTCATATGGGAGCAGGCAGTCCGTAAGGTATGCTCGCCCTGATCTGTATAGGACTTTCAAGGTCAATACCAGTACCTTGGATTGAGCCCAGAAATTGGGAGCCAGTGTAGATTGGAACAAGACTTGGAGTGATACAGTCTTTAAGACCCACTCCAGTCAACATTCTTGCCGCAGCATTCTGTACCAACTATGGCTTCTGGACAGTCTTCAAGGGAAGCCCCATGTAGAGCTCATTGCAGTTATCTAATCTAGGTATTACCAGGGCATGAACATCAGGCTTTTGAAAGGATTTTTAGGGTAGATTCTCAGAGTCCTTAATGGCAGTTGTTTCCTATTTCCATTCTTTATCTTCTTTAACTGTACTATAGCTTGTTAACTGTTATTCAGTCTGCAGGAATGGGAACTTGTATTTGAAGGCTTCCTCACATGAAAAATTCTGTATTTGTATAATACTAACATATAAGGAACAAGGCTAGGCCAAAACATTTCCCCTGCCTTGCTCCATTTACATTTGAAGGGGTTTTTGACCCAGGCAAAGGTTCAAACATGGTCTTAACACCTTCTGTCTGAAGTGGTATAATCCAGGAAGGATTATAACTGTTGTAGTTTTTACACATTCAAACTGGCTCTCAAGTTATAATGTAAAGGTAGAATGAAGTTCCACTGAAGTTAATGAGAGTTATTTTCACATAATGTATAGAGTTTCCTGTCTTCTGTTTAATATTTGTGTTAATAACTTTTCTTATTATCCAACAGAAAGACGAGATTCACCCAGGAGAAGTCCTGTTTCTGGAAAGTTCATCGATTTCCAAATCGCCAAACAGCGGCAAAGTATCAGAAAGGTTGCCAATGAGCAGAAGTATGTGATATTACAATAGAATCACTACATGTAACTGTTGCACGGTTGTTTTGCATGTAACATTTTAATTTTTTGTACTGTACATCGAACAAAGTACAATAAAGTGTTTTTATGTGGAATCTGTGTGTGTTAGGCATACATTGATTGAATGTAACTCATCCAGTAAGAGTAGAGATGTATTTTCATGACTTTAGAATAGCAGTTTTCTGCAGAGATGCCAGGGAAGAGACAAAAGGTATTCTGGCCATTTACAGGGTGCATCTTGCAAGGCATGGGACACAAACTGGTGTGATCGTTTTAGACTCTCCCAGTTTATATAATATAGGAACGCAACGACAGCCCACTATTGGACAGAAGATCAGTCTAGTCCAGCATCCTGTAACCAACAATGGCCAACTAGATGCTTCTAGGAAGCCCACATCCAAGACATGAAATTACTGGTGGGCTGGGGACTTTCTGGGACATTTGGTTAGCTGCTGTGTGACATAGGATACAGGACTAGATAGACCATTGGTCTGATCCAGCACGACTGCTCTTAATATGAAGGCAGTAGTTGTCTTGTACTGCCTACTAGAAATTAAGTGTTCAGTGCCATAGAGCTTCTGAACATGGAAGTGGCGTTTAAGCATCATGGTCAACAGCCACTCCATGAATGCGTGCAGTCCCCTTTCAAAGACATCTAAGCCGATAACCACTGCCATATTTAACATAATGAATTCCGTGAATTCCATACATTATATAAAGAACTTGTCTGCCACTCGTGGCTGACCCTGAGATCTAGCACTGAGAGAGAGAGAAAAAAACATTCTTCCTATCCAGTTTCATGGGATCTGAAGAAGTGAGCAGTGACTCATGAAAGCTCCTACCCTGTCATAAATTGTATTAGTCGTTAAGGTGCTGCTGGACTCTTGCCCTTTTCTACTGTGACAGACAGACAGACCAACACGGCTACCCATCTTGATCTTTGTACCCCCATAGCTGTCGTCGTCCCCCCTAAACTGTACCATATCACTATTTCCTTGCATTTCTTTTGGTCTGCTTCTGCCTGGTGATGGGAAGTGCCATCAGGTCACAGCCAACTTAGGGCAACCTGGTAGGTCTTTCAAGGCAAGAGACTAAATGGTGGCTTGGCATTCCTTGCCTCTGTGTACCAACCCTGGGCTTCGTTGGTGGTCTTCCATCCAACTACTAACTAGGGCTGACCCGTCTTAGCCTCTGAGACCTGATGAGATCAGGCTAGCCTAGGCCATCCAGGTCAGGGTCTGCTTCTCCCTAGTACCAGATAAAACTGTCTTAGTTACTCAAAGCAAAATTGACCATTTTCAGCTTTGACTAAACCATTTCCAGCACACTATTAAGCTATCACATGATCACTACTTTGGGGCAGGGGGATTTTCTTCCTAGTTTTTCTGGGCATATTCCTGTGACCTTCTTCCTAAATATTTCCAGTTCCATCATTCAATTTTTTTCCCCTCTTCAGGATATTAGCTATTTGGGATTGTACCTTTGTAACATGTATTTAGAGCTGCAGCATTCATCACATTTCCAGGTGTATATCTAAGATGTTTTCAGTATGCGGTTTAAAATGTCAGGTGTGAATGCAGCAAATGCACGTCTGCAAATGCAGCTCCATGCGGAGTGTGCACTCTTGGTGGGGGAGGGGCAAACCCAGGTTGCTCCTGTATAATGTGTGACGTAACTCTCAGTTTCAGTAGCATGCTAAGTGAGGTCAAGTGCACAGAAACAACAAATGTTTCCCATCTGCAGGGAATAGAATGGCTTTCACTTCATGATCCTCATAAATCCATGCAAAGAGCACTGGATCACATCCCAGTGACCAACCAAATGCCCCTGGAAGGTTTGCGGGTGGGCCATAGAAGCCAAAGGCTCTTTCTGTGGCTATTCCCCAAAGGAACCTCTGATACTGCCTTGGAAAAATGGAAGCTCTGTTTAACCCTCATGACTCAGCCATTGATAGATCTGTTCTCCATGAATCTGTCAAATCCTCTTTTCAAATAATCTATGAGAACATAACTGTTGATTCAGTCAAGTAAACAGAAATTTTCTACATTAAAAATTTCTTCAGTATACATGTCTGGGTCCTGAACAGCATCTTTTAATTGTGATACTATATCTAGGCTCTATCTGCTATTTGTTTGCATAATTTCTGCTCACTTGCATTTTGCTTTCTTGTAATGTTTTCAAGGAAACGTTGTCTCGAAGTGCTTCGCCTTATTGACCTCGACTTCTCAGTCAGCTTCTGTTTGTTGGATTTGCCTCCAGTGAATGAATATGACATGTACATCCGGAACTTTGGGAAGATAAACACCAAGCAGGTAAGTGCCTGATTTTCAGGAGTCCAACGTATTTATCCTGGCTACTTAATTTGGTGTAGATGAACAGTAATTTTCTTCAGTTGCTTCTGTCAGGCAGTGGGTATACCAACACCAGTGATCTCGAAACTATTGCTAATTTCCTATTAATTTATTTTTCTACATGGAAAGAAAGTGAGATATATGTTGCAGAAGAGAGAATGGCTGTTTGCCACTTGTAGTGCTTTTAGACAAAAGTGTTATAGCCATGATAAGCTTCAGCTGAAAAGTTAGATGCCTAATAAATCTCATCAGGCATAATTTGTCCAGATCCTCAGAATCATGGATCCTCCTTCTCCCATATCCCTTTGCATTCCTTCCCTAACTTCCTCTTTCTTGGAAAACCATAGTTATATATAATACAGAAACAAAGCAAATAATAGTTTGTGCAAACCATAGTTTCCCTGTTATGAATGACAGCATATTATGGTCTAGCAAGAAAGAGGGCATCCAGGTGCACAAGAGGTGCTCTGCCTTGAATGACCAAACCATGGTAAGCTGTGTGTGAACCAAGGCAGTCAAATCGAATCAAAGGGACTTAAACATTTCACTGTGCTGTTGATCTCAGTGGGTAAGGTGCACACAGCTCTTAATTCTGTCTTGTGTTTTATAGGAAACTCCTTATATTTCCATTGTTTTTGCCTCTACCAACTCTCGTGCAATGGTCCCCCAACTTTTTTGAGCCTGTGGGCGCCTTTGGAATTCTGACACAGGACAGTGGGCACAGCCACAAAATGGCTGCCGTAGCTTACCTTCAGTCACATGATGAAAATCCTTGTGCCATGGTGGCAGCTGCAGGCAAAGCAGTGTTTTTAAAAAGCTGCACAGCCAATCAAATCTCCAGTGGCCACCCAGAAGCCTTGCTGGTCAAAAGCTCCACCTGGCCCTACCCAATTTCTAAAAAGATTTGGTGGGCACCAGGAGAGGTGCTGGGGGGGTACCTCATTGGGGAGCCCTGCTCTAGTGCATGCTAGTGCTTAGGCATATATACACACCTGTCTTTTTGTTTAATGCTTGGACTGTTGGGATGTTTGCATGCTCTGTTAACCGTTATTGTGAGACACAGTGTTTCTTTTTGGGCAACGTATCCCATTTGGATTCTGAGAAAAACACTGTTAAAAAAAAAAGAAGCACCTCTTCTGACTCCTACACTGTGACTGTGTGGGGAAACACAGTCGTAGTTCAGACATTCACGTTTCTATAGAACTCAGTCAAATCAGGTCAAGATTATCTGTTTGATTCTAAACAAATGTTCTTTCCTCAAATTGTACAAATATTTGTGTCAGGTTTTTGGGAACAGTGTTCCAATATTTTGTTCCCAACATCAGTAGCAAAAGGAAATATTATTGTTAAGTTGTAAACAAATGTAACAATAAAATGTAGTGTGTTGAAAGTTGTGTGGAATACAGAGTAATTTGGGGAAGAGCAGATTTATATATCAAAAACGGAATGCAGCTGCAAATATTTGAAGCCAACAAGAAATTTTCACCAATAACGTAATCTTTCTATTTTAGGCTTATGTTCAGTGGAATGAGGATAATCTAGAAAGAGATGTTCAGACTGAAGAAATAGAGACTCAAGAAAAATGGACACAGCATCCTGGAGAAACTGCCATTGTGTGTGGAGGTGATCAGAATTAGTTATATATAAGCAGGCGGGGTCCCCAGTTACAGTAACCAACACTTGGAAGGCTCAACAATATTGTTGTGATTGCCTAGCAACCTCCAAAAATGGCCACTGAAAGCTCAGTGGGCATTTTTTCCCTTAAAGTTACAGGTGTGGTTTCTGTAATTTTGGGGATTTTTGTGCAAACCTGGGACTTCCTTCAGGTTTGTAGAGAAATGTCCCCTTTTGGTCTCTAGCTCCATTTTGCAGATCTATTGATACACACTCTATGGCTCTATTCAGAATGAGATATATGATGGCTGCAATCCTACAAACATTGTCCTGGAAGTAAATCCCATTGAATAAAATTGGTTTTGCTTCTGAGTAGGATTGTTTAGACTTGTTCTCTACAGATCTTTAAATATAGTGTGATTCAAAAAAGGTCCAAAAAACACTTCACCCTGCCTCTCCTTTCTCAAGCAGTTTTCAGTGCAAACAGCTAATGGAGCTTTTGTGCAGTTTATGATGGTGCTTTGATCCCCATTTGTAAATTTGTCTCATTTCAGGTCCAAAGAGCAGCAGTGATGTATCTGTCCTTGCGCCAAAGATTGATTCCCAAAGACTGGCAAGTTTCCTGCGGTCTGCTTGTCAGGTATATTATGGAGCCTCATATATTATTTTAGACGTACATTTTTAGAGACAGAATGATTGTGTGTGTGTGTGTTTTCTGCCTCTTAGATATATTTCCCTAATTAAGCAAGGATAAGTACTAGAGCAGACACAAATTCCTCTGTGGTCTCTTTGCATGGTCAGTTTTTCCTTCATGCCTTTACAGTAACAGGGAAAAGAATACACTCCCACCACTTACAGTAGTACGGGTTTCTGTAACCCAGTCACTTGTCTTCGAGTCCAGTGGCAGTTTAGAGACCAACAAGGTTCTGAGGGTTTCAGCTTTTGAGAGTGAAAGCTCCCTCCATCAGATAGAGAGCGTTGATTCTTGAAAGCTTGTAGCCCGAAAATCTTGTTAGACTCAAATCTTACTGGACTCAAATCTAGTTATTCTACTGCAGACCAGCACGGCCACCCTATAAAACTAAAGTCACATCTTTTGAAAGCCCAGGTTTCTTACAGCTGAAGGGGAAAGGAACAGTTTGTTTCATTTGTGTAAATAATTATTGCAGGTGATTGCAGTTTTGCTTGAGGAAGATCAAGTTGCAACACAGCCCAGACGGAATCTAAGGTCGCGACAGACCAGTCTGTCTATTAGCGATAAATGCTTCCAGTTAAACACCAATCTTCCTTTCCTGCAAGGTAAGAGACCTTCCCCTTCATCCTTTAGTGGAAACGCTTATGGGTTTTTTGTTTGTTTTTGCATGAGGCTAGCTCTTTGCTCAGAGTAAAAGTCAATATGTTGCGGAATTGCATAGAGGAACCCCCATGTTCAGAGGCAGTATAACTGAATCCTAGCTGGGGACAAGCAGCCAGGGAAGAGCATCACATCCATGCCTTGTTTTTGATCTTTCAGAGGCATTTGATTACTGTTGTTGAAGCCAGATTGCTAGGCAGAGCTCAGCTTGGTCCCCCAGGGCAATTCACCTTGTTCCTTTGGTGCATCCACAGCTCTCATAGAGTTCAGCCCATGCACTTGGTTACAGATGCACATCTGGTCATTTCTCTAGATTTGCACCCATCTGGGGCACAAGGCTTGCCTTGTGAACTGGCTGGCTGGATCTGCTTCATGCATGACTGGCTCAGTCTGTCTAATTCAGAGGCGTCAAACTCATTTGTTACAAGGGCCAGATCTGACATAAATGTCACTTTGTCAGGCCGGGCCACGTGTGTCATAAAACGTATTGCCAAGTACTGGAGATAGAAACTGTATAAAGGACAGCAGGTTGTAAGCGCCAAGTTGGTGTATCCTCACTGCAAGGCCTCATGGGCTGGAAGGGGGGTGCAGAGGAAAACCCACATAGGTGGACTGGAGAGGCAGCAGAGTACCGCCGGCTAGATGCTCCCACGATGCTTGACTGCTGCAGAGGAGGTTGTTCTGCTGTGCTGAAGCCACAATGGAGTGGCTCCACCCACTCCTCCCAGCACGCCCTTCCTTGCACCAGTTGCTCGCAGGCCACATAAGAGCCCTGGACGGGCTGGTTCTGGCCCCCGGGCCTTATGTTTGACACCCCTGGTCTAATATGTTTTCAGCCCCCACATTTTGTTAGTGTTGAGAAGCATAACAGCTAAGCTAAGAAAAAAAAATGAGTGGTCTGTATCCAGAGCACAAGACCTAGATGAAGGAAAACAGTTGCTCTAAATGCAGAATTTGTTTGGTGGCAGTGATGCAGCATTCTATCTCTGTCAGGTACATTTCCTGAGAAATGATGCAATTGAAACCAATCTATAGAGGATGGAACCAGCAGCCACCCTTCTAAAAGGGCAGACACTTGCCCCAACGCTTGCTCGTCTAGATCCCCTTTCATCCCAGCCAAGTCTTTATGCTCTCCTTCAATTAACAGAGGCGGGCCTTCTCCATGGCTTTACAATACCTAAATAGATTTTAACCTCATGGCTTACCAACAGGCACTGAGGAAAGCTTGGCTTTCATCCCAGCAGATTGGTTTCTCTCTTCCCAAGGCTCTTTGCAGTCAGCAGCATAAAACGTTTACCAGGCACACTCCTTCGATAGCAAATTAACCTCAGCCATCGATATGGAGATTACCTTTGAAGTTGCATTTACGTTTATTAGCATGCAATTATAACATTGATTAGGGGTGCAAAGTATAATTTGTGTGTTTGGGGGTTTCTATTCATGCTTTCTTAGGTCGAAAAGTTTCCTGTTTACACATCTCACAAGCTCAGAGGCAGACACTGCTTTCTGTGCATGACTTACCGGAAAAGTCAAGCGATCTGCCATTGGACGAAAAATACGTCATCTGTGTGTGGAATGTCTGGCAGCCTTCAAATCCTCAGAAAATTTTATTTTGTGGATCACAGGTACAGCTTCAATGACATTACACCATTGTCTGCAACAGTAGCTCCTAAATGTTCTAGCACCGTGCCTCTTTGAGAATACTGTAACTGAATGTGCACCTTCGGCATCCCAAATCCACACCAGCCAATATGAGATCTTACCTTTTTGCAGCCAATACCACCTCTTTGTCTGCTTCCACCTGCCTCTCACTAGGGTGAGAGCCAAGGACAGAAGAAAAGGGAGAGAAACTTTGAATAAGAAAATCCTCTCCTCAGTGCTGTTTGCAAATGAGACTGAATCTTTTACAGCACTCTTGGTTCTCTCTCAGTCGCACGTTTTTATCTTGTCCTTCCTCCAAGGACCTCGGGGTGGCATTAGATGGTTACATGTGGACAAGGGGGACCCAATAGATGTTGTTTACCTTGACTTCCAGAAAGCTTTTGATAAAGTTCCTCATCAAAGGCTCCTAAATAAGCTAGCAGTTGGGTTAGAACAGATAAAAGGAAGTACTTCTTCACCCAAAGAGTGATTAACACATGGAATTCACTGCCACAGGAGGTGGTGGCAGCTACAAGCATGGACGGCTTCAAAAGGGAATTAGATAGGCATATGGAGCAGAGCTCCATCGGTGGCTATTAGCCACAAGGTATAGATAGGAACTCTCAGTCTGGGGCAAGTATTCTTGGTGCTTGGGGGGGGGCAACAGTGGGAGGGCTTCTAGAGTCCTGGCCCCACTGCTGGACCTCCTGATGGCACCTGGTGTTTTTGACCACTGTGTGACAGAGTGTTGGACCAGATGGGCCACTGGCCTGATCCAACATTGGCTTCTCTTATGTTCTTATGTCTTTCTACCTCTCATTTTATCCTTGCAACACCCCTGAGGGGTAGGTGAAGCTGAGAGTGATTGTCCCAAGGTCACCTAGTGAGCTTCAAGGCAGAGAGGGGATTTAAAACTAGTCTTCCTGCCCAGAGTCCAGGACTCTAAACACTACATTCCCCTGCTTTCATCTGACATTAATATTGCTAATATTGCTTTAAAGCTTTCGGTTTTCTAGCCTGAGCCCACACATTTAAAGGCCGCATGAATTCTGAATGCATGCTATGCTGGTCCATCATTGCACGGTGTGTCATGTGTTTCACAAACATGGCAAAGGGTCACGTCCCCTTCCCCCCTGTACTGTATTCCAAGGGGAAAGAAGGATTGCCTCCCATCATCGTTTTACCAAACAATCTCGATCCACCATGGTTGGTGGGAAAGGCAGTGGGAAAGGGTGTTGAATGCTTGCAGGTTTGCCTTTGTGGACGGTACTAAAGTCAAGAATGCTCCAGAGCAGAGGGGGTCCCTGACCTTTTTTGAGCCTAAGGGCACCTTTGGGATTCTGACACAGGGCGATGGGCGCAGCCACAACGTGGCTGCCACGGAAGGCAGACCTAACCACGAAAGGACTCCGCAGGAGCCACAGACACAAAGGAAGCCCAAGTGGAGGGAAAAAGAAGGGTAATTAAAAAAATACACTGGGAGAGAGAGAAAGAGAGAAGAAAACCCACTCTGTGGTGGCAGAGCCGCCAATGAAACATCATTATTTTAATCTGTACAGCCAGTCAGATTTCTGGTGTCCAATCAGAACCCCTGCTGGTGAAGAGTTCCATGTAGCCCCCCCAAAAAACACTTGGTGGGTGCCAGGAAAGGTGTTGGGCGGGTGCCATGACATCCTGGGTACCATTTTGGGGAACCCGTGCACTAGAGAGGTCATGGGAAGCTTTCTTTCAGTTTCTTTCCTTTTAATGGGTGGGATTCTCCTGAAACCAGAGTCTCTAGTTTCTCTGGGCTCATTGGCCTTGGAGGAAAGGCCTCACGTGCAGCAGAACCAGCTCCCTTTCGAAGCTGTGATTCTGCCGTGTTCTGTCTCGCTGCGCAGGTAACGTGCTGCTGCTTCAGTCCCAGTAAAGCTACTTTAGTGTTTGCTGGAACAGTCGACGGTTCGGTGCTGGTCTGGGATCTCAGGGAAGACTCCAGGATGCATCACCGTATCACCTTCAATGAGACAGACTGGGCATTTCGATCGCCAACGTTTTCTACAGGTTAGTTAATGAGTCTTGATTTATCCCGTCCTGCACAGTCAAAATGGGAAGTGCCGTAATACGTGAACAAACACAGTCTGTAGATCTAAAGTTATTTCAGGCCCCGGTCACATGGCAAAGTTGCCGCGGGAGAGGCACAGATGGTCGGCGGATTATCTGGGCGCGATCACGCCCCAACATCTGGGAAGTGGAGCACACCCGTGCCTTACCGCCGACAATGCACGTTTAAAAACTAGGACCTCCAGGGTACTAGGAAACGTTTGCCACGGGCTGCCTCCAGACGCCCGTGGTGTGATCGCGCTGGCACGCGGCATTTCCTCCGATCCCTCGTTTACCCCCCGGCGCCGAGGGAAGGACCCATGGTGTGCCGCCGGCACGTCTGATCGCGTAATCGCAGATCAAACTGCGCCGGGGCAATTAGCCACGCCTCCTCCCCGCGATATCTGACCCGTTGTTCAGCTAGGGTTTTTTCCCCTCCATTCCTTGCAAACGACATATGCCATAACCAGTAAGAAAATAAGCTGAAAGAATGAGCCCCACGTTGTGGAAGCCAACAGAACAGGTTCTGTAAGCAGGCCTCACGGTTATTTTAGTCCAGAATTCCAAATCTGGTGTGTTTCAAGATGAATCACTCTTCACGAAAGGCAATATTTTAATACAGGACACCAGCAGTCTCCTCACCATTCAACCTCTTATAATAACTGTTTAAAGAACTTTATTTTCTCTCACAGAGAACAGTATTCAAACACACTGTTAATGTCCCCTGGTGAAGAGCATGGCATCTCAGCTTGAAAAGCACTGGTATTTTCTGTTGAAAGAAATGTTGACAGCCGCATACTGAACTTTTACTGTCATACAGTGATAGAAAAATGACTTAAAATCTGGAGACCTGGGGCTGGATCTAGCAGTTCCCTTCTATTGTGCAGAAAACTTCAGATAGCAGAAAGACTCGAGCAAAAAATCACCTTCCTCCAACAGAAGTTTTTTCACAGCACAAGAAAGTTCATTTTTGCATCTCTTCAGCCATCACTAAAATCCTAAAATATATGATTGAGGACACCTGTTTAAAACAGTATGGTGGGTTAGATCCGAAGGAGGAAATTTTATTCATTTATTTATTCATTTATCCCCAGTGGAGACTCAAAGTGGCTTACAGTGGAGGAGGAGAGGAGGAGATTGGATTTATACCCCATCCTTCACTACCCAAAGGAATCTCAGAGTGGCTTACAATTCCATTCCTTTCCTGTCCCCTCCCCACAACAGACACCCTGTGAGGTAGGTGGGGCAGAGAGAGCTCTCTCGAGAACTGCCCTTGAGAGAACAGCTCTGAGAGAACTTGTCACTGACCCAAGGTTACACCAGCAGCTGCATGTGGAGCAGCTGGGAATCAAACCTGGTTCTCCCAGATTAGAGTCCGTGTTCTTAACTACTACACCAAACTGGCTCTCAGTGTTCTCCTACCTTCCATTTTATCCTCACAAATGGTCCAAGGTCACCCACCAGACTTCCATGACAGAGTAAGGATTCAAACCTGGATTTCCCAGATCCTGTCTGACACTCTAACCGCTGTACTACACTGGCTCTCAGATAGCCGCTAGCTTGTGCATCAGACACTTACAAAAGAGCTTGTGTGATTGGTCTTGCGGTGTCTCACTTGCAGTGCTGTGAAATTGTGGGAGCTCTCATACAACCAGAAGAACTTCAGATTTAGGTTTTTGGACAACACTCTGGCATAACACATAAAAATATCCCTCCCGTGAACATAAAGTACTTTCTTTATGGGGAGAGGCAGCTTTGACTTCAACCTAATTTATTTATTCAGCACATTGATTCGCCAACTTTTCTACTTTGAGTGTTCCCAAAATAACTTACAAAACGGAAGAATCCACATTGACTAGCATTACTGATCTTTGCAGCCGCTAATGGGCTGGCACTCAAGAAGTCTTGGCTGCTCTGGGAGATGGCGGAAGCCCCAGGAGGAGCCTTCAGTGTTTTGCTTATTTTTTAAATCCTAGATGGGATATTCACGTCAGTCAGCCACATGTGCCCCATAGTGACAATTGAACCCGTCTCAACGACTGTCTTCAAGGAACAAAACTGTGGGCTTTCCTATCTCTCATCTCAGGAAGGTAGGTAGTCTGCTTGGCAAGTGTTATTCAGAGAGACGACTTGTACCTACCGGTATTATCGAGGAATTCCTGACAATCTCTTTCAGAGTTTGTTTGCTTCCGTGAATTGGCTTTATGGCACTCGATGGGTGGGAAGGCAACAGGAATGGTTTTGTCTCAACACTTAGGACTCAACCCTTGATTGGCCTTGGGCCAGTGAATAAATCTCAGTCTTAGGTGTTTTCTGAGGACAGAGTTAGATCAGAACAGGCAGGCCTCCCCCGTAACGACTTATGGGGGAGGGATCTCATTCCTCTTTGTCCTCCTCCCTGCAGCCCCTTCTCCTGCAAGCCCTGCAGCCGTTTCAGTCCTTCTTTCTCTCCCACACATCCACTCACCCGTATTTTTCTGTCCTTCTCACCCTGTCTTCCTATTTCCTTCCTCCTCTTTCTTTGGCAGCCCCTGCAGCCTTTCCCCATTTCTTTACTTTCACTTGTCTATCTTTGTCTGCTCCTCTCCCACTTTAGCTTTACTTCCTGACCCTCCCATTTTTTTCAGTCTCTCTACCCCTACCCCTACCCCAAGATCTGTTGAGACTAACCAAGGTATGGAAGCTTGGATGATGTTTGTTGGGGTTGCGTACCAACTCCCAAAATGGCTGTTGAGATTTAACATCATAATCTTATAAGATCTGTATTAGCATTCTTTTCTTTACATTTTTTGGTGGTGGGGATTATAAGCTCCCATTTTCGTCGTTCTTGTTTTATTTCAAAATGTTCTGCACATTTGTAGGGGAACCCCCCCCCCTTTCTGTACCTGACCCCATTTTGTGGGATTTGTTTTGGTTCACACTCTGGGGGCAGGTTCAGAATTAGCTATGGAGATACTCACCTGTAGTTCATGCAGAGCTGTAGGGCTGAATCCTACAGATCTCAAGTGGCAGGAGCTTGCAGCTCCTTGCAACTCCCCTCCCCCTGCAGAGATCTCCTAAAAGCTGATGCTCGGTATGACGAGAACTCCGTGGTGTGGGGGCATAGGGTGACACTGCCCCCACTTCTGTCTTGCACTGGAGCTGACAGAAGAACAAGAGGGGGCAATGTTACTTGCTTGCCCCTTTTCACAGAAGCCCACCCCCCTTTACCCCATCGCATTGTGTTCACTGGGCCCCTGTGCCTCTAAGTATCAGCCTTTCATAGAGTACAGGAGCCTGCAAAGGGGGGGGAGAGCTGTGTCCACAAGCACCCTTGCGGTCATGGTTCAGAGAATCCAACCCATAATGAGTGATTTCTTCTTTTTCGTTACAGAAATGTTAGGGCTTTCATTTCAGATCGCCTCCATGGATGAAAATGGGACCCTCAGTCTGTGGGTGAGTAGGGTCCTTTCAAGAGTCATTGGTTGCACGTGATCCAGGTGCTTTCTTCACGGAGCCATGTAGTTGCCGGGCAACTGCATTTTCCCATCTCAGTTCTTATGCGAGAAGCTCTGTGTTAAATTCTTAAAATGATCTGGTCACCTGGAAATGTGAGGGCTGTCTGGTAGTCAGGTGAGCAAAACTACAGTCAGCAACACAGTAGGGAAGAAAACCGGGATAGCCTTTTTGGGCACGGCCACGAAGCAAAGTTTGCAGCCGATAAGGATACAGGCTTTAGCAGCTGCGTGGCCATGGTCATGGTACCGTAGATGCCTTTTATGGAATACCTGCAATGATAGCTTTGAGTGTATGTTAATTCTTGCCGTGTTCCAGGTGGTGGTTGAACTTCAAAAAGAGGATTTGGCTGGCTCACAAAGAGACTTAGGTAAGTAAAGCTTATTAGGGAACCAGATGCTCTTGAAAGGGGAGGGAGGGAAAAGTAGGACACGGGGGCAGGAGTCCTTAAAAAACAAACTTCCCTTGGTTTGTGTGCCCCCGCGTATCTTAAGGGCCATCAGGTCACTTCTGACTCACCACAACCCTGTGGATTCATGATCTCTTAAGCGTCCTCTCATTAACAGCCTTGCTCAGATCTGGCCAACTGAGGGCCGCAGCTTCCTTAAGTCAACATGTCTCATGCTGGGTGTTCCTCTTTTCCTGCTGCCTTCAACCTTTCCTAGCATCATTGTCCTTTCCAGTGACTCTTGTCCTCTCATAACGTGACCAATGTACGATTAGGCTCAGTTTAGTCATTTTAGCTTCTAGGGAGAGTTCGTGCTTGATTGCCATTGAATAAAATGTGACTTCTGAGTAGACCTGCCTACGACTGATCCCTGAGAGAGGCACACTGTTAGTAATCATGGGAGAAAAAGTGTCAGCCTGGGCTGGAAACAACCATTCTGGATAATCTTGAGATTAACTGTGGAGCTGCATACAGTACTTGTGTGAAGTCTTAAAAAGAATTCTTCCATGAAGTCATTCCAGGCATTGCGATGATATCTTCTGCCTACCAAATTGACTTGCAGACAGAATTGGGATCTTGAATTCATATGTTATTTTTCTGTCATCTGGGATATCCATCCAGTCAACTTAAATCAGTAGGAATATATGATTTTATTACAGTTCATTTCCCTTTTGTTATTTGTAGGCCTAATTCCTGGGGGGAAAGTAAAGCTGGTTCATAGCTCTACCATTCAGCTGAAGTGCAGGTAAAAAAAAATGACATGCTTCTCCTAGAAGGAATTTAAAAAAAAATATTTATTTCATGATGTATATAAATATTTATTTCATGATGTCTCTCCCTTGAGGCTCATCTGCTTCTGTCTTATGGATAGTTTTTATGCTGGCTTGTTTTTAATGGCTTGTTTTTAATATTGTGACATGGTTTTAATTGTAAGCTGCCTTGAGCAAGACTCTGAAGATGCTGCCTAGAAATATAAATAAATAAATATGTAAGTTTCCCGGGAGACCTTTGATATAGGGATTGGCCAGGTTGCAATTCTGCTTAGCTTAAGTAAGAATGTTATGTCAGGAGGATTACTTCGGCTATGCCATGGTCATAATCTGTATTGTTTAGTATTCTCAGTACTGTTGAAAATGACATGCCAAAAGTTTGTATTGTCCTGTCCAAGGGCTTTTCTGAATTCTCATTTTCATTGCCTGTAAGTTGTCGTTTCTTCTGGAGTTTTTCCCCTGTTTTGCTTGTGTTTTGGTCCCTCTGGTGGTCAATTCAATCTCAGATGGGTTTATGACTGGCCTATCTCCCGGCAGGTTTCAACTGCAGGGTTTTATGCTGGAAAGAAACCTGTGTGATATCGAATTGGCCACTAGGGGGAGCAAAACACTTGCAGAACAGAAGCACCCATCCCAAAGAAACAGGAACTTACAACAAGCAGTGTTCCCTCTAAGCTGAGTTAGTGTGAGCTACCTCACAGTTTTTTTAGGCTCAGCTCACACATTTTTGTCTTAGCTCAGGAAGGATGGCTCCAGAGCAAACTAATTTATGCAGCAGCCAAATCGCTCGCTCACAACTGTAATGCCAGTAGCTCACAAAGTAGAATTTTTGCTCACAAGACTCCACAGCATAGAGGGAGCCTTGCTTACAAGTGAGGAAAATGAGAATATGGAAAAGTCCCAAGTGTGAAAGGCCTTCAGACCTTATTTGTACACCTGTAGAGAATGAACCTGGTTCCCTGTTTCTAAGGAACTGTGAGAGCAGCCAGAACTTTCCATGGTTAACGAAACAAGGAAAAGCTGTGGGAGACAAATTGCCATCTGTTTATATGTATATGTATATATTTTTGCGATTCCCCAGCTATTCGCCAAAAGACACCACGTGCCTGGGGACATCCCAGCTACTGAATATTAAGTTTCTGCCTTCTAATCCTAACCATTTCATAGTTGGCACAGACGTTGTAAGTAAAGTTCTAAAATTCATTTTTCTGTTGTCTTCTTTTTGTTCCTAATTGTTGTCAGTGGTAAATCTGTGTAATTTTTTAGTAGCGGCATCTTTAAACGTATGCTATTGGAGGTCTTGATAAAAATCACCAGGGCATTAAAGTCGGTACAAGGTGAATAGCACCATTAAGTATTGACTATGCGTTTCTTCTAATATTACACGGATAATTGGAGAAACCTTATTTTCTTGTTTTGAAGGCTGTTGTGAGTCACGGTACAAGGCATGAACTGAGAGCGCCTCCAAAGTTGTTCAAACCACAGCAGGGGGGACCAAGATCCACCCGAGTCAATGCAATGGACTTCTCCCCTTTTGGAAAGCCACTATTTCTGGTATGGATGCCCTTCTGTATTTCACGATCAGAACTGTTAAGTGTTGCATCATGGAACCAAAGGTTAAAAGCAGGGCTATTTTTGGGCAGGAACGCATAGGAACGGAGTTCCGGCTGGCTCCCAAGTTTGCCACGCCCAGCAGGAACTCATTAGCATAATAGGCCACACCCAACAGCAGAAACTCATTAGGATTGGCTACATTAGGGGTGTGTGGCCTAACATGCAAAGGAGTTCCTGCTACAAAAAAGCCCTGGGTTTTAATAACAAACAAGGTAAACAGAATAAGAAGCAAAAGGTGGGTGTGGCTGGATGAGCACACTTCTGGTAACATGGAGGTGTGGCCTAATATGCCAATGAGTTCCTGCTGGGCTTTTTCTACAAAAAATGCCCTGGTTAAAAGTATCTGAAAGTTGGCTTTTATCTGTAAAGCAGCCACAGGTGAATATACTGGAACAGCCAATGCACTTCTGTATTAAGTTTTGAAAGACAACCATAAAAGGGGACAGGCGGAACTCCCTGGGGAGGCCGTTTAATACTACCTGGTTCTTTCATAAGAACATAAGAATATAAGAGACGCCAATGTTGGATCAGGCCAAAGGCCCATCCAGTCCAACACTCTGTATCCCACAGTGGCCAGAAATTGACTGAAGAACTGCTGTATCACTCCTGCAAAGCTGGCCTAGGGGAAATCCAGCCAACTCACATGATTGGGGTACAAAAACACAGCACTGAGGCTATAGCACTGTGTTAAGAAATACAAATGGACATGTAAAGTCCTAAAGATAATCTTATTCAACGTTTGCAGTATAAACAGCTAACATCTAATACATTCATACGTATTCAAGATGGTCCACACAGCACTGCTTAGATTAATACAGTTCAATACGTTAGAATACAGCCAAGCTCTTTTCCTGTACAGCCAGAGTCTTCTCTAGAGTGGTCAGTGGCCTAGGTTCTCTTCGTTTCAGTTTTCCTTTCTTCAGGCCATTTTCAAGAAGAACCAGGAAAAGAGCTTGGCTGTATTCTAATGTATTGAACTGAAGTAATCTAAGGAGTCCTGTGTAGACCATATTGAATACGTATGAACGTATTAGATGTTAGCTGTTTATACTATACAGACTTTGAATAAGATTATCTTTAGGACTGTACATGTCAATTTGTATTTCTTTACACAGTGCTACAGCTTCAGGGCTGTGTTTTTGTACCACAACTTGCTTTCACTATGTTACCATTATATATTTATATAACTTACATGATTGGGCTGAAACAATCCGTTAAGTCAGGAATGGTTCACAAGTAGTTCCATTTCTGGTTTCCCCCGAAGGAACTCGTTGGCCGCTGTGTGAGACAGGATGCTGGAATAGATGGACCACTGGTCTGACCCAGCAGGGCTCTTCTTGTTCTTCCATATAGCTGGTGTAGCCCTGTGATGTATCGCTGCATCAGAAAAGAACTGCACAGCACAATTCCCAATGGCAGCCTTGGGCTTTTAGGACCAGGGGTATCTGTGGCAGTGCCAACGCACAGGAGGGGAGAGCATTCCAGGTGCCAGTGGGACGGGGAACTTGCCATTCATTTGCTTGTCAGTGGGAAATGGTTACACCCTGGAGGCCAGTGGTAAGACTGCACAGCCTCTTTGGAGCGTGTTTGGTGTTCTAATCAATACGAGAAATGCTTGTATTGACAGACGGTTGTGGGCTTTGTGTCCCTGCGTGTGGCATTGTTGTTGCAGGCGGGCTGTTCAGACGGGAGCATACGACTGCACCATATGACCTCCGAGCTTCCACTCATGCAGTGGAACAACGGCACGACGGGGCAGCCAGTGATTGCCCTCCAGTGGGCCCTGACCCGGCCAGCTGTCTTTTTTGTTTTGGATGCGACGTCTGTCGTTTATGTTTGGGACCTGCTGGAGAGTGACTTGTCGCCTGTAGCCAAACAACCCACCCCGGCAGATAAGTAAGTCCAGACCATTCTGTTTTGACGACAGTTGGGCAGAACCGAGTGAATACAGCTCTATCGTTAAAATCTCCTTAATACTCCCTGAGGTTATGGTTAGAGGCCAGGTGAGCTCTGTGTTTGGGGTTCAAAAAGGAAAGGCCCCAGTTAATTTCTTCAAGTGGACTACCCTGACGTGGATAGGCCAGGCTGGCCTCATCTCATCAGATCTCTGAAGCTAAGCAGGGTCGGCCCCGGTTAGTCCTTGGATGAGAGACCACCAAGGAAATCCAAGGTCACTACGCAGAGGCGGGCAATGGCAACCCACCTCTGAACGTCTCTTGCCTTGAAAACCCTCTGGGGTTTGCCATACGTTGGCTGTATACTGACGGCACTTTCTACCACCAGACCAATAATTAATTATGGGCTGCGTGTTTTCGGTCAGCCAAAAGCCCAGTTCAGCATACTTAGTTTTTGTGCCGCTTATATAAACTGAATGGAAGTGATTGAAAAAGGAATGTGCGGGATCCATTTTCTCTATTGCCCTGCAAGAGAGACCTGACTTCATGGAATCTCCCCTGGTATGAATGAGAGAGGAGCTGCGGTGGCTCAAGTGGTTAAGACGCTGAACTGCAGGCTGCGGAAGGTTGGTAGTTCAGCAGTTCGAGACCCGAGTGTGCCGCAGGACGGGGTGAGCTCCCGTCTCTAGTTCCAGCTCCTGCCAACCTAGCAGTTCGAAAGCAAGACATTTGCAAGTAGATAAATAGGTACCACTTCGGTGGGAAGGTAACAGCGCTCCGTGCGCCTTGGTGTTTAGTCATGCTGGCCACATGACCACGGAAACGTCTTCAGACAGCGCTGGCTCTTCAGCTTTGAAACGTAGATGAGCACCGCAACCCTAGAGTCGGATTCGACTGGCTTTCGAGCAAGGGAACCTTTACCTATGAATGAGAGAGATGTCGGTGTTGTCCACCCCTTCCTCCTGTTCAGCTTGAAATTGCTTGCTGAGAAGGAACTCCCCCAAAGCACACCCTCCCTGTTAAACTAAAGCTCTTCTTCTCCTCCTCCTCCTCAGGGTTCTGACTATGGCTGTGCTGGGGGAGCCGGAGAAACTCAACGGCCTCCTCGGGCTTGCGCTCGCCAGAGAATCCGGGATCATAGAGATCTGGTACGTGAAGAAGAAATGGGCCGTCCCTCAGCCAGAGGAGTCCGAGAAACTCAACTTGCTCTTGCAGCAAGCCTTGTAGGATCCAGATCGATGCCTTTCTGTGAATGGGCAGAGAATGGCAACCTGCATCTAGGTGGATTTATTTGTATTTGGGTAAACACTGACAAAGGCTCAGTCAAAAGATAGAATTTCGTAATTTTCCCTTTATTTTTGTAAATAGTATTTATATATTTTTAAAGCACAGTATTTCAGCTTGAGATATAAAATATTTTTGTCAGACATATAAAATAGAGCAAATCTTCATGAATTCATATCTAAACAGGGGATATATATTGTATTTATATTTCATTCAAAAATGTATTTACTTCAGTGTACTAGCCATGATAAACATGTATAGGTATTTTGGAATAAAACCATGACTATAAGACTGGGGTACCCGTTTTGCGTTTTCCCAACAATGGCGGCTTGGTAGCTATGCTTCTTTATTATCCACAGAACATTACTATCCATAAGACAGTAAAGGATTTGATTGGCTAGCATTTGAAGAATTTTTGATCAGTTCAGGTTGTCGCGGCAGTGGCTGAAAGCTTCTTTTTTGTTGGCAACAAAAGTCCGTATGGTCAAAGCGGTGGTATTCCCAGTAGTAATGTATGGCTGCAAGAGTTGGACCATAAGGAAGGCCGAGCGCTGAAGAATAGTTGCTTTTGAATTATGGTGCTGGAGAAGAAGAAGAAGAAGAGTTTGGATTTATACCCCGCCCTCCACTACCCAAAGGTGTCTCAGAGCGGCTTACAAACTCCTTCCCCTTCCCCTCCCCACAACAGATACCCTGTGAGGTAGGTGGGGCTGAGAGAGCTGAGACAGAAACTGCTCTTTTTCAAGAACAGCACTTATCAGAACTACGGCTTGCCCAAGGTCATCCAGCCAGGTGCAAGTGGAAGAGTGGGGAATCAAACCCCGTTCTCCCAGATTAGAGTCTGCATACTTAACCACTACACCAAACTGGCTCTCCCTTGGACTGCAAGGAGATCAAATCAGTCAGTCCTGAAAATGCAATGAACATGAAATTGAGCAAGCTCTGGAGCACGACGGAAGACAGGAGGGCCTGGTGTGATGTGGTCCATGGGGTCATGAAGAATCGGACTCAACTGTGCGACTGAACAACAACAACAAAAGAAAGCTTCTATTTGTGCACTTCTTAGATGGGGCAGACCCCCCCCTCCTCTACCACTCCACCTAGCCCTACATAGCATACAGAGAAGCAAGAAAACATCAGAAAGTTATCCTTCTGTATTTGATCCATGCTGTTCTGTAAAGGTCTCCTCTACCACTCCACCTAACCCTACATAGCATACAGAGAAGCAACAAAAATCAGAAAGTTATCCTACTGTATTTGATCCATGCTGTTCTGTAAAGGGCAAGTTCTGTCTAGAAAGACAAATCCTGAGCAATCCTTTTCAGCTTTGTAGGATGAAGGAAGCTCTGGATCTTCTCACTGGTGCAGGATTTATCCAGATTTTTAGCAGCCTCAAATTTGCCAACTGTTATCTTGCTTAATAATTAACACTTGAGTTCTTTGCCCTGATCAGGCAAGGGGTCACGGCAGAGAAGTGGGCTTCCACATGTAGCTCTGCCCTATCCACGGATCTTCTGGCTCAGGGCCTCCATCCAGCAGGCTGTGCACAGTTTCTGATACTGGCCAGGAGCCCCACATAGGGCACCAGACACAGGGGAACTGGATGCCAGATGAACAACAGAATGCGGATCCAGCTAATGCAGTCCCACCAGCACCATTTGGCATGAATGTGGGTGTGACTCCCATCCATCTTGCAGTATGGTTGGGAATGTGCAGCCTCAGATCTATAGCTACAAGGGGCATATGGAGGCAGTGGGTTGGATCCAGCCAGCCTTTTTGCTCAATGTCACCCAATTCCCCGCCTTACTACCATCCCCATCCCATAAGGCTTTTGTCCATACAGGTCTCACAATCCTCAACATAGCCTTTTTGGTGGTTACAGGGGTCCCCATACTCCCTTTTTTACCAGGGGAAAAGCTGGCTTGATCCAGCCCGGTGCCCCCTGAGAAATGCATCACAGCTCCTTCCTGAATTCTTAACTTTCATGTCTTTTTAAAAGCCTTTTAGCCCTTTTCATTGTGGAGAGAGAGAGAAAATGTCCAGATTGCCTGGGAAAGAATGGGGGACGGAAAGCTGCAAGACAGCTGAAGCAGAAGTCAGTTAACCCTATAATGCCCAAATCTGTTCTCATCATCTGTGTCCCATCACCTTTTCCTCCTGCGTTCTTTCTTTAATGTTCACGGAGACAAGTTACAGGGCAGAAGATTGAAGTGAGATTTGTATTATTTGGGGGCTGCCTCCCCTGTCTGTAGTAGGGAGCTTTGCCTCAGGAGTGGGTGGGGGCATGGGAATGGGGCAGGAGCAGAAGAATGAATGCCCAGGTCCACTCAGCCTGGCATCTGTTTTAATCATAAATTGAAAACCAGCATGCTGTAACTTGCATGTGTGAAAGAATGCACATTTCGGTGCATGTTTTTACCAGTGAAAAACCACCATCAAGCTCCTATCCTCATTGCCCTCAAAATCTAGGATTAGGGCTGAAGAGGCACAATACTCAGATGGGTTTATACTCTAGAACATCTCACCACAAAAGAAGAAGAGCCACACTGCATTAGTCTAAAGGGAGCATAATAGCCAGAGAGCCTTAAGCCCCCACTACTTCTCACTGCAGAAAAGGAGAATCTAAGTAAATCTGAATTAAGATCCTTTTTTGAATGCAGAGACAGCAAAGACTGTACACATGCAGAGTGCTTTTCTCTCACTATTTAGTAACCACATACACCAGTCTACCCGGCATTAGGTGATAATTTCTAGGTTGGAAGGAGCAATGAAGGTATAATTTAGGATTTTTAGTAATTCAATAGGGATGCCAGCCTCCAGGTGGGACCGGGGGATCCCCTGGAATTGCAGCTCATCAACAGACTACAGAGATCAGTTTCCCTAGAGAAAATGGGTGCTTGGGACGGTGGAAGGGACTCTGACCACTAAATCATATCCTTTCTTATCTCAGTTTCAGCCTTTTGCAAGCACTGTTGTTGGAGTTTGCAGATGATACTATGTTGTTTGTTTGTATTCTGGATTTATAAATCACCCAATCCCTATATACACAGGGCTCTGGGCAATGTACAACAAAGTTAAAAACAGTGTTAAAATCAATAAAAACAAGGCAGTGAAAACCAGGGAATGACTGTGAGACACTCCAGAGGGATCTGTCAAGGCTGGGCGAGTGGGCATCACTGTGGCAAATGAGGTTCAACAGGGGCAAGTACAAAGTAGAGGGGGAAAATCCGAACTAAAAATACATGTTGATGGGGTCCAAACTGTCGGTAAGGGACCAAGAGAGACATCATGGAAGATAACTCACTGAGAACGTCAACTCCATATGCAACTGCAATTAAAAACGCAAATGCTTTGTTGAGGATTATTATGAAAGGGATTCAAAACAAATCAGTATCATAGTGCAGCCTCATTTGGCATACTGTAGTCACCACACCTCAAAAAAGATAGCATTGGAAAACATGAAAAAAGGGTAACTAAAATGATTAAGGGGATGAAACACTTTCCCTATGAAGAAAAGTTAAAGGGGTTAGGGCTCTGTAGCTTGGAGAAACGACAACTGAGGGGTGACATGATAGAGGTTTATAAAATTTACAAAATTATGCATGGAATAGAGAAGGCAGAGAAAGAATTACTTTTCTCCCTTTCTCACAATAGAAGAACGCATGGACATTCAATGAAATTGATGAACAGTAGGTTTAGAACAGATAAAAGGAAGTACTTCTTCACCCAAAGAGTAATTCACGTGGAATTCACTGCCACAGGAAGTGGTGGCAGCTACAAGCACAGACAGCTTCAGGAGGGGATTGGAGAAACACATGGAGCAGAGGCCCATCAGTGGCTATTGGCCACAAGGTATAGATGGCACACTACATCTGGGGCAGTGATGCTTTGTATTCTTGGTGCTTGGGGGGGCACAGTGGGAAGGCTTCTGGAGTTCTGGCCCCACTGGTGGACCTCCTGATGACACCTGGGTTTTGGCCATTGTTTGACATAGAGCACTGGACTGAATGACCCATTGGCCTGATCCAGCACAGCTTCTCTTATCTTCGTATGGAGCCAATCCCACACACACACACACAAAAATCAGTAAGCTAACCCATCTTGAAAAACTGCACTTAAAGGCATTGGTTTTGTCATCTCTGAAAATGTAGGCTTCTTGATAAAGACTGGATATTTGATGGAACTTGGTTGGGTCAGAATAGGGAAAATGTGGGCTCCAAATAGCCATCCCCCACAATGGTCCAGTTCAGACAATCCATAACCCATTGTGGAAAGGAATAATAACCCACAGACTCAAATGGTTACCTCCTCTCTCTTGAGGCTTTCCTTTTAATTTCTTTTTAGATATAGTCTTACACAGGGATCCTCGTGGGCACTATGACACCCTCCAACACCTTTCCTGGGGCTCACCAAGTGTTGTTAGAAAGTTGGCAGGGCCAGGTAGGGCTTTTGCCCAGCAAGGCTTCTGATTGGCCATTGGAGATTTAATTGGCTGTACAGATTTTTTAAAACATTGCTTTGGCAGAAGCTGCCACTACAGCACAAGGATCTTCACTGTGTGACTGAAGATGGCAGCCATTTTGTGGCTGGCTCTGTCTCCTGCGGCAGCCATTTTGCGGCAGCCAGTTTTGTGGCTGTGCCCACCACATGTATCAGAATGTCAAAGGTGCCTGCAGCAGAGTTGAAGGGAAAACACAATGCATGACTTACTGAATTAGATGCACAATGGGGCTAGTGTTGAAATGGAAAGGGAAGCGACATGTGAAATGAGAGAATAGAAAGCAGCAGGCCATTCTGTGGCATCACTGGAACCAAATCACTAAAGTACCCTCAAGAGGACTAACCCATGTAACTGCTTCACTAAAGGAGCAGACACTGTTGAGAGGTTACTTTTATGGAACATTCTCGTTGAGGTTATTCGCCAAAACCTACGTACTATAAGG